TTTTCATTGTACAGAACTGTTTGAATGAACTTAGTTATCGACTTAAAGAAAACCTCAAAATTAGTTCCGATTAAATTTGCAGACTGTGATCCCGAAATACATTTTGTGAATGCTAATAATATTTTTTATGGGTTTTACTCTTTGAAAATAGTCTATAACAATAGTGTATTATAATAATGTTAGATAACCCATAACCTCTATAATCGGGCATCGTACAAATCCGATAGCCAGTTAATGAGATTAGCGCATAGAAATAAACGGTCTAACTCTATTTCTGATAATCGAGTTATATAAATTATAGAATACTTATTAAATCGAGAACGAAAGGCAAATAATATAAAAAAACAATTAAAATTGCAACTGGCAACCAACACTTCAAATAAAAGGTGTGTTTAAAAAAAGAACTGAATTTTCTTTAAAATGCCGTCGGCGTTGGACATGGGGCTTTTTAGCCAGCCAGAGTGGAGTGATTCTAGTGACTCTACAGAGCCTGGACCTTTGCCCCAGTTGGGGTACTTTGTGCCTGTGAGATGCAGATGTGAACGGACCTCTCACCACGTGTGTCGGAGAAGCAGAAGGTAATAGATGTGTTGAGCTTGAATTTTGTTTTCGAAGTTTGCTTTAGTTAAAAATTCTTTTAATCTCTGGTCTAATTTAGAAGATTTTTATGCCAATGTTGTTATTTACATACATTAGAAACAGTAAATAATTGTACACGGTGCAAGTCATAGACAATTGTATGGAACTGATTTCGTATTCTACTTTGCGGACTTTGCTATCATCACATAGCTAAACACCAAATTCCTACCGACTCCAGCTTTTTGAGATTCCTCGCGATGTAGTTTCAGAAGTCTTCAAAGATGGTACATTAACATTTAATGCCTCCCAACTAGTCGCTTTTACAGCCAATCTTCGCGCCGCTACACGATTTAAGGACTCATTAACATGTTCACGATTCTATTTATACAGATTTGGAGGGAGTTATGTCAATTTTTTGTTGGTTGGCTGGTGGAATAAACATTCCTAGTACTCAATCACATCCGTCTGTCCATTCGTTGTAGTATTAATGGACTCTTTTACGTCAAAATAGTTTATTTTCTATCGACAGAATTGGTCTATTAAACGTCTCTCAGAATACAGTTTTCTGTCTTCTACGCTTACCTAGAGGTATATCAGGATATATTCATAGCTTCGTGTGTTCTTCTAATTTTTGTTATAACACCAACAACACTCATTGGTGGTAAATAATTTATTTAACAAGATACGGATGTCAGATTTCACTTAGCTACTGGCAAATAAAAAAAACATAGTAACTTTTCTGTAAATGTTTCCGAAAAAAGCTTCCATTGTCTATGGTTGTTTTTAATACTAACAGATTAAAAATAATCTTCAATTTTCACAACTTTCCCTTCCCTATAAAATATTCATAAAGTTCTATAAATATCGACTCATAACGAAAAGCTATAATTAGCAGGTAGGTGACAAATCGTCAGTTGTTTTCTATAGCCCAGTTCCCACGGCCAATGACCGATGGCTAATTAAAATTTATAGTAATTAATATGCTGTCGATGACAACGCACTGTTTCTGAATGAACAATATGTTGCGACGATCCATTGGGTTTGTTGTTTGATGGTAATATTTGAGATACTATGGTTAAGCTCACAGATATATGTTAAGCTACTGGTAAATATTTTAATGAAAACATGCTTCAATAGGGTAAATGACTAATTTTTATTTTTATTTTTTTTTTTTATTTAATAATGTCCGTCTGGTAGATTATTTTAAATCATTAGACACGTATTTTTATTTTCTTACAGAAACGAATACTTTCGACGATATATTGATTTGAAATGTCGCGTTACGTCACTTCTATGTACATTTTATACGTAGAAATGACGTTTTAGCCACTACTAAACTTTGATTCGTTTTATCTAAGTAGGTATTGTTTTATTATACGACAAAATAAAAAATACGTGTCTAATATTTTTTCATTACCTAACTTACGGGTGATTATATTTTTAATTTTCATACCCTGTCATCATCCCAATTGAGCACTTGTCACTTAGTAGCATGTGTGTCGGAACTCGGAATGTTGCTCAAAATTAGCATGCTAATATCGAACATGCGTGCGAATCGACAGGCGTTCGATTTTTTAAAACGCTGTATAGAACGCCTTTTAGCATGCTGTTTTAGATCATATGTAATAGAACCTTTATGAAACGAATAAATATTAAGCTTTCTTTACATGCTTAACCGTCGAAACAGTGTCCAAAGATTAATTGATTGATTGAACTAAGATAATAGACGTGAACGTGAAAGAACACAACTTGGATTGTGTTTAGAGGGCCAAATATTAAGTTTCTTAACGCTAGCAACGCACTTGTAACTGCTCTGTAGGCGGCGCTGATTGCTTACCATCATATTATTATTATATGTATAATATTATAAGTCACGGGCAAGTGCTGAAAATCAGCGCCGCGACTCGAGCACACTCGTGTCACGGCATTTAAGCTGAGCTCTGGCCTTTTTGCGCCGTCTTTGCTATATTGTTTTATATTTTTTTTTGTGTTATTGTACCTTGTGACGGTGTGCAAATAAACTATTTTTCTTTCTTTCTTTCTTCTTTCTTCTTTCATATATTGTGGCCCGTCTGCTTGTTTTCTTTCTACTAATATTTTGTTTGTTATTTCTTTACATCAAAATGGCTTAAGGAATTAACTAACGTCCCACACTTTTGTATAGTCATCAATATCATCCACTATCTACATAACATCATTTGTTGCATTTTCCTAACTCATATGTGTTCCAACTTATATACATTATTTCTTGTTAGCTACGGAATGTGGTTCGTACCGTAGTCCGTAACTAACTATATGTAACCAAGTACTCGAACAAGCATGCACATTGCACATAACAATCAGAAGTGATACATAAACATACCGAGAACTGTTTATGATGCACATAATCACTTAATTAACTGTCGGACGAAGGTATTTTTTTAATGTTAGAAAAACAATCTAACAAGAAGTAATAAAGCTTTTTTTATATCTCGACGTGTGACCACTATCTCGCCTGGTGGTAACCGATGATGCGGTCTACGATAGAGCACGTCATCCCATAAGCAACTTATTCACCCGAACCTTGAAGACACCCAGGATCTACTTTTCAGGAAATACAGACCCTGGCAAAGAATTCCACTCCTTAGTAGTACGCACAAGGAAGCTTGATGCGAAGTACTTCGTGCGCGTGGATGGGACCGTTGATTGATTGCTTTAGTTTGGTATCTAGCTTCTGCCAGCGGCTTGGCCCGCGTCCCCGTGGGTTTAAAAGTAGCCTATGTGTTATTTCAAACCATAATCTACCCCTGTTCCAAATTTAATCCCGATCCCTTCAGCCGTTTTGACGTGATTGAGTAACAAACATACAAACAAAGTCACAAACTTTCGCATGTATAATATTATTTTAGGAAGAAATAAGATTTATTGTATCTCGGATAATAATATAGCATCGTTTTTATAATAATTATCGTGAGACATATTAAATTAACTAAAAACGCGGGTTATGACGATAAACGACGGTCAGTGAGCTGTGCGACGTCGCCGCGACCGCGCACGCTGCTCATGAGGAAGAACCCCTCTGTGGTTCGAAACTAGTAGAGCTTTTCTCGGTATATTCACGTGAGTAACCCGCGTTTTTAGTTAATATAGCATCGTTTGTCTTTTCCTATATTTTCCAGTTTATTTCTATAAACCAGGACCCATCGAAGACCAAGCAACATTAAACATTCTCTCATATTCATAAAATAAACACAAGATATCTCGTCGTGATTACTCTGTCGTGTTTTAACTTTTGACGATATTACGAATAAGCCTCAGACTGAGGCAACATAAAACCAAAAGTGACCCATAAAAGATTGGAAAAGTTTTGGCTTCCAATCATTGCAAATCTTTCTCGCCTAAAAGTGCCGATTAAGATTAACAGAACATTTATTTATTGTCCACAGAGAATCTCCCCGGTCTCGTCGGTCCGTGTCACAATGTTCCTGCAACAGCATTTCCCGCAGGTCCTCGGCGGCGGCATCCCCCATGCCAATGCCATTACCACCACTCAACAATACCATGGAGATGTACGTGGAACCCGTCGTCGAAGATGTGAGTATATCTGTTTTAATTTTGTTTCTGAAATAGGGTAGATGCCTAATTTTTATTTGAATGTCCGTCTGATAGATTACTTTAAAACCACAGAAATATTAAAAAAGTTTAAAACATTACACAACAAATACTTTCGACGATATATTGATTTGAAATGTCACGTGACGTCACTTCTATGTACATTTTATACGTAGAAATGACGTTTTAGCGCCCACTCCTAAACTTTGATTTGTTTTATCTAGGTACCATTTTAGTATACAATAAAATAAAAAAATACGTGTTTAATATTTTTTCGTTACTTAACTTACGGATTAAATAAATTTTTAATTTTCGTACCCCGTCACCATCCCAATTCTACAAACTTGCAGTATGCATGGACAAACTATTAAAAAAAAAAAATAAAGACATAAAACAGTTATCCTAATCGAACGAAAAAAAAAAAAAAAATAACTGTTTTCCCCCCTTAAAAAAAAAAAAAAAAAAAAAAAAACGAACGATAAATAGCTAAATAAGGTAAAGATAATAAAGTCAAGATAAGATCATACACTATACTTTTCTTTCTAAAATTCTTTGAAAATCATCCAATGACTGCTCCCGCCTGGGTATAGCGGGAGGGAGTGTCAGACTTTTACTGACTAAAAATCACCCCGTTCCTACTCCTGCACTTCGAGCCGGAGCCCCGGTAATCCATTAAGTTCTCCGCGGCTCCGTATCAGCCCTATTGGGCCCCATCCGTGGTGGTCTGATGACTCTGGCACGATATTTAAGTACAACTTCAAATTGAGTAGCCTTTTAGTAGTCGGGTGTGTAGACATCAAAAAAGAAATTAAACCCTTAACTATGCGGTTACAGCTTTTTATTAGTACAAATTACAGTGTCATCATATTTATATCATTATCACAGTTTGCCAAATATATTGTCGATTTAACGCCGCATATCCTGGAAGCAACAAATTCCATGTCAGTGCACTACACAAGAGTTTACGCGTAACATTTGGACAGGGAGATGTCAGTCATTTCAGAATCTTAATCTAGGAGACTGCTTTACATTTAAATGTAGACTTTGACATTTTCATCTCTTGTTACAATTTTCTACAAATTAACTCGTCATACATCGAATTGTTCCTCAGTATATTTGTCGAGTACTTTTCTCATGGATTTAGCAATTTGTTCTGGTTTGCTGTAGAAGTATTTGTGTTGACTACTGCCCTCCTCGTTCACTATTTCGGGGTCCACACTACCTTTTGGTGAAATGAACAGAATTCTGCAAAGAAGAAGGAATAACTTAGTCCTTTTATTCTGTCCACATTTTTAGGTCAAGCATTTAAAAGAGGGATTAAAATAAATGGGTTGCATTTAAACTGTCAAACACCAAGCGATCACCGGTGACCGCAACCTATTGTTCTATAATTGTGTCTATAATGACGGTACTCGACGAGTTAAATTAATTACTGCATGGATTGACAAGGACAGGCTTAAGAAAGTCGAAATAAAGATTATATTACACTTCACTTCAACAATGGAGGAAGACAACAATCTTTACAATATTTGCTGTTGAAAATAAGAAGATTAGATAGCCTTACGTATATATTCTCATATATCTGTCTATACGTCCATATTCCAGCAGATGCTGGAACTCTTTTTACTGTTTATAACTAGGTAATTAATACTTAATGATGGTGATAGGGTTTTGTGCACAAATAAGATTTTAGAGCAATGTGACATGTACCTTGGTATGTACGTCCCGTCTGGAGCAAATACATTATTTTTCGGTTCCTCTTCATCAAGCAAATTGACCATGACAAAGTGTTTGCTTAACGTTTGTATTTCTGGAGAGTTGGCGAATTTCGGCTTCAAATTTCTACAGGCTGTGCACCACGATTTGTGGATGATCACCATTACTGGTTTTCTGTGGTGTGTGGCTATCTGGAGACCCGATTCTAAAGATCCAGCCCAAACGTAATTGTTACCAAATCCATTGTCCCTGCCACTGATACCGGCGCAGTGTACTGTGTCGAAAATAAAGGTGAAAAATGCTTTAACGGCTGTTCCAGCAGCCATTTTGTTGTTGTGTAATTATTCTTCGACCGTGGTCGTGATAGCAGAAGCTAAATACATTATTAATTTTATTTATAATTATGTTACTTTCTTTTGGTCCGCCATTTTTGACAAAACGTTTTTTATTTTGAAGTTTCGCGGTCAATCAAGTAGGTTGATTAGGCGTGCAGCGCCATCTAGAATTTAATAGTGAAACTTGTATTTATGTCGCTTGAGGCACAGTGAAACAAGCGGTGAAGTTTTCTCTGTGGTCGTATTCTGGTACCGGTTTAATCCACTAGAGGGCGCTAAGTTCAAAGTTTTATTCAACTTGATTAAAAAAGTTTATTTCTTACAAAAAAAAGGTTTTATCGTAGAATACAGACTTTTATGGGTTAAATCCTTTAGTATGTTACTCTTATGATTTTAAGATCCGTTTGAGTGAAAGGGGTTAGAAATCAGGCCAGTATCGTGGTGATCACTGCTCGATCCTTCTCTATATAAGTAGAGGCATTTGTGTAGAGGTAGAGGCAACAGGATGTATACCTAGAATCTAGACATCAATAACGATACATTTTTCATACATTCAACATGTATTCATGTTAACTAAACCACACACTCGAGTGGACACATAAAAATAAACTTAATTTAATTGGCGAAGTATAAAATAGCCATTAACAATTTATGATACACTAGCTGTTGCCCGCGACTTCGTCCAGCCATTTCAGATATTAGCCAGTACAAACAGACAGACAATTAAAAATTTAATTTTGATATAGATATAGGTTTCGTATGTATATTCATATGCATGTAGTAAAAACCAGTTATCTCAATATTTGAAACAGACACTCCAATTTTATTTATTTATCTGTATAGATGTACAGATTGTGCTTATAAATATCTACATGATGTTTAAAATAATCGGAGTGATGATGACGATATACGTCATCATCAGTCCGTCAAGGGTTGTAGGAAGGATGTTAACGATGACGACGATGATAATGATGATGATCAAAGACGTAGACCGCATCATCGCTTATCACCAGGCGATATAGAGGTCAAATTGCGGCCCAACAAATATAAAAAAAAAGAAAAAAGTACCTTGAAAAAGGCGGACACAGTCTCTTGTAATAAGGACTGTGGCACCTGGCTACTATAGACTTACACGCAGAATACGCACACATTGACACGAAGGACATCTGTCCCGTGGCATGGCCCGTCATTACACTTCATTACGGTGCTGCAAGTACACGCACGTCGTATGTCGTGGTGGCCCGGAGGTTAAGACGGGCGCTTCTCATGCATGAGGATGCTGATTCAAAGCCTACTAACTGCAAGTACCAATGTGACTTTTTCCGAGTTACATGTACTTTCTAAGATTATTTAGACACCTCTGACAAACGGTGAAGGAAAACATCGTGAGGAAACCTAAGGTTATAATTTCTAATTATAAGTTCGAAATCGCCAACCCGCATTGAGCAAGCGTGGTGGTTAAGCTCAAACCTTCTCCGTGTGAGAAGAGGCCTTTACTCAACAGTGGACATTTATAGTCTGTTGATGTGTGTTGACGTAAAGTACCTACACGCACACATAAATACATAACTGACATTTTGGTGCTTTAACCATTTCCAAATGACATTATATCCGTCTTTTTTCAACATCCTTGATGATGATGATGATTTTAGTGATACTAACAGGCTGTTTGTGAAACAGGCAAACAAACAGATGTGTACTAAATACCACTTATTTGGTGATACACATAATATCACGCCTTTTATCCCCGAAGGGGGCAGAGCGACTAATGCGACTGTACTAAATGTATTACACTGTACAA